GAGTTGAAAATGTGGTACTGAGAAGACTGAGGCATTGTTTTGTGTATAAACAAACTAGAAATCGAAAAAATTTTATTAATAACGCAACTTTTCAATGATGTGTGACCAACTAGCGACATCTGGTTTTATTAATGTGTATGTAAATCGGACAGTGAACTTCTCATTCTACATTTTATTATTATAACAACGGCTCAATAAATAAAAATAATATTTGTAATCATAATTTATTTTACATCAATTTACAAAACTACGGTATTTCCTAAATAAATAAATTGTGAATTTTACACCTCTAAACAAATTCAATAATACATTTTACTTATCACGCCGATGACTAGACAAATTCATTTACAAACAAAACGACAAACATTTATTCCTTAATACATGAGATCTCTATATATTATTATCTATTTACATGGTGCTAATTGATTAGCGCTTACTTACAGACCACATGCATTTTACAAGTATTATCAATAATTACATATTTTAATATTATTTATAGTATCGTTCTTCCGACAATTTAGGCTTATTGAATAAATAACATTGGGACGTTATTGTAACGTTCCTTCTACGGTTTCTACGGCGCCACGATTTGAAGGAGAATTCGCATAGATCTCGACGACATAAGCTAAAAGTAATAATAACATTTTTCGATAACTCGCTAGTTTCTGAGATATCGATACTCAAAAATGGAATACTAAAACCGAATCAGCACGACCCGGCTTCACGTAGTCTTGTCCTTGTCTGCCCTAGAGTGTTTTTGTAAAGTCGTAGGCGCGGACGGAGAGCAGCCCCCGTCCGCTGTAGGAAATAGCAGGCGATGCGAGCTGTAGCGGTCGAGGCTGATCGCCGATGGCAACCAATAAGCCAAAACTGTGGAGGTGAGCATGCGTGCCTGCGATTTCCTACGCAAGGGCGAAGAGGCTGCTCTACCCGTAGCGCCGAAGCCGTTGCAGAAGTAAAGTAACTTTGGGTCAATATTCCTGTGTAAAAAAAGTAATTTTAGAGTATCGATACTAAGCGAGATATCGAAAGATTTTATTCTTACTTTTCGGCGTATCTCGTCGAAATATATGGGAATCCGCCTTCAAATTGTGGCGGCGCGTCATAAGAATCGTAGTCGTGTCTAGAGCATAAACATACTTCTTACGTATCTAAAATGTATAGCAAGACGCTATCACAGTTTAACGAGAATAAACTGTGGCGCTATATAGTTAATCGCTTCTAAAGAAAACTTGATATGAAATGAGTTTTTTCCTTTATTGAAGATTTTACATATTTACATGCTAATTGGGAGATTTTATATAATGTAGACGCTGTGCTAAAACCTTTATATTAAGTGCCGCCGTAATAGTAAAACACTTATTATCATTGAAGTAATATGTAACTACGTACTAGAACCACAGAAGACATAATAGTTGCTAGAACACTAGAACAGACATCTGTGCGGCAGTGTGGGCCGCGTGGTCGAAGGCACGGAGTACCTTTTCATGGCACAAGGAAGTTTGAGAATATATAATCTCTACTGCCAACAACTAATGAGGCTCAAGCAAATAATTCAGAAAAAACGGTAGGAATCGGTCAACAGTAACGGAGTGGTTTTTCATAATGATAACGCCAGACCAAACACATCTTTGGCCACTCAGCAAAAATTGAGAGAGCTTTGTTGGGAAGTGTCAATGCCTCCACCATATAGTCCTGACCTTGCACCCTCAGATTTTCACCTGTTTCGGCCTCTTCAGAATTCTTAGGGTAGTGTTAGGTTAGCATCAAAAGAGGACTGTCAAAACTACTTGTCGCATTTTTTTTGATTAAAAATCCCAAGATTTCTACAGCAACGGGATTATGTCACTACCTACAAGATGGCAACAAGTTATCGAACAAAATGGCACATATATTATAATTAAGAGTAATTAAATGTTTAAAAAAGTCTTAAAATACGAAGAAACTTTTTCCCCAACCTAGTGTTTTGTTTCTCGTTCTACGTAATATTATATCGTTCGTTGGTTGAAATAGTTTAATTAAAGACAAAAAATAATAATTTTAACGTTAATGACTAGAACATTTATCACTTGTTATATATTTATGTTTTGACTGCTGTTTTCTTGTTAAATCTTTAAATATAAAAATTACGTGTCACATTGTTTGTCCGCGATGAACTCCTAATCTACTGAACTGATTTCAATGAAATGTTTCACAATGTGTGCAGTTTGGTCTAACGTGAGAGATAGGATAGTTTTTATCCCGATAAGTGATCCTCAATTTTCCATCGGAAAGAACAGAACAACGTTTGCCTGGTCAGCTAGTATTTTATGAAATTCGTCAAAACTGATTTGAATGGCTAATTATGCAGCATTCTTTTATAATAATAATTTTCCGTTCACAAATTATGGCTTGGTCTATTTCGTCTTATTACAAAAGTGGTTTATTGATAAACTAGGTGTAAATTATGATCTAGGAAAATTATAAATTATGGTTTAAATATTTATTAATAGTTTTATCTTGAAGCTATAAATAAATCACTTTTTATAATAAGGCCTATCTGTCTTACTACAAAAATAGTTTATAATTAGGCACAGGCTTAAAGTAGAGTCTGTTAAAAGAAGCCTCGTGGAAAATATGCTGAGGAAAATTTAAAGTATGGAGTTTGATAGCAAATATGAAAATCCGCGAATGCTGTGACACAGAGGCTTAGTCGCTCTCGACGTGTCGACAAAAGACAAAATTTCATTTACTTTCTCTGTTATCACTGCTACGACTGACTTGACATTGGCAGAGTTCTAGTAACTCCCAAAATTAAAAACTTTGTGATAGGGTAGCACATTGTGTAAAAGAGGATTCTTTTAAAAACTAACGTTTTTATCAGAAACGTGTTAGAAATAATAATTGAAATTAACAATTTTTTAATCCAATCGTAAGCGATTAGAAAGTATGTTAATAGACAACACTAATATAATGTTATTTTTTCGATTCCAGACCCGTAATTCATTTTCACAATTTTGAGTAATTTTATAATTGAGATATTTCTAATACATATACGGCAAAATTTTATAAAATTCATTAAATGTCCGCCAAGGCATTTCATTTGAAGAAGTTCTATACTAATGTAATATTGATAAAAAAGTAATACGTTAAAAGTTTGCGGGAAATAATATTGTATCTTGTTTTAAAACTGATCCAAATAAAATGCCATTTTCAAATAACTAAAGCAAGGTAAAAATATGTACAGAATAGAATGTTTCCAGAATTATTCAAGTTCACTGCTTAACAAAGGCCTCCCATCTAGATTTCCTTATAAGAGCGATATTTGGCATTACTGCCACATCTGGCAGGCGGGTTGGCAACCGTATTTTATTTTTATTTTGAGTTGTTACCTGGAAGTTGCTGTTGGCATCTCCTGTTTCAGTTTCATTCTGTCACCTCTTCAGTCGCTCATGGGATGATAGATACCTATTATCACGCCTCCACTCCACGGCATGTAGTACGATGTGTACAAAATACTGATGCTAAATTGCTGTTTTTGTATTCCAGTGTAGAGAGCTAGGATAATGAGGGGCTACAAGGCCTTCTATTTTCATCGTCTGGGGTTATAATTGCCAGCATCGGGTGGATGGAGAGTGTTTTTGTCATTTATTATTAACAAAAATCATCAGTTCATGAGAGTTATGCAAGAAGTCATTGTCTAATATTTATATTATGATATTAAGATATTCATTATTAAAGAGAAAATTAAATCAATGGGGTTGATGACAATTAGCGCAGGATTTTGGCAATTACTTACATTTCACGAATATACTTGAAAATAACAATTTCTAAATCTCCAAAATGTTTCAAAAGTAAGTACCTATTTACATTATTTACAGATTGACGTGTTTTTGAATGGCTTTTTATACAGTCGATTGTCTTACATCAAAACCCAGTAGCTTAGCAACCAGTAAGTCAGACTAAATACTAACCATTTTTCTATATTGTAATTTACATAATAGATCTTCACAGAAATACAAAAAACGTGCATTACTATACTACTTACTTATATACTAAAAACAATCTGTGATTTTATCTCAAATTCAAGTAAATGTGTTATTAGTATATTTTAATCAGTAAAACACCTAATAAGGCGTTAAAGTACATATGTTCTCTAATTTGAAAATTAGAAAACATATGTACTTGCTATGTAATAAAATATACAAAATTTGACCTGCTCAAAGTTCAAAAACTTTATTAAACAAAGTTTGTATGAAAAGGTTATTATAATATTAAGTAATTCATGGATGATAATAACCCCTGGGAATGAGGTGATCGCTACCAAGCTATTTATAATTTGGTTTCTTGCTGGTTCTTCCCAGGACAGAGGTTTTTTTTCGAACCAGTGGTAATTAAACCGAAGTGACTTTCAATAAGTATCATTTATAATCTATATTGAATAAAAAAGTTTCTGTTTTGTTGTATGATATATCATAATATTTATCGCGTATGTATTCCTCATTAAGTAGCTTATTTATAATTTTAATATAAGATAAAATGCTATAATTGAATTATATTTAACGCTATTTTTAACGTTTTTAATATGCCACTTTCTTTAAAAAAAAAAACATTAACCTGTTTCTCACGTAATTTTAAGAGTTTACTGGGTTGTGACGTAGGGCAGCCACAATACCTTTTATTAAAAGGTCTCTAGCAAAAAAGTTAAGTCATACTTTTTACATGATGTGTTGATTTATCATATTTACCTCATATTGGTATTTTGTACATTTTATTTACATTCTAATATGTGAAGGGGTTCTTTGATTATGTTCAAACTTCGACTACATTGCGTTAAAACCTGGTGAAGACCATTAGAAACCTGCAAAGGCATCGCCATATAATTGCTCATTTGCCGTGCTAACCGTGTTTGTAAAGCTGTGACTGGTTATCGTTGAGGTAGACTTGACGTATAAGTCTACAGCTGCTTGGCGTGGTGACTGACCGTTTGGCTTTTGGCCAGGACCACGTTTGAAACAAAATCAATGATCCGTGCTAAAATAGGAGTTCTGCATGAGGTACAGCTTGTCGATGGGGTTGACAACAGCGCCGGTGCCTAGATTCAAAGGCTCGTGGGCCGAGTGCGCGGAGTGCTGGTGCGAATGGTGTTGCACCTCCAGATTCTGTAGGCTCATGGTGTCAGACGTGCCCTCGTCTAACTGATCAAAGTTGCTGCCGTCCAGCGATATGTCCGAGCTGCAAAAACTGTCGCCGGAATGAGCGGGATAATCTGTGAATTTACAGAAAAAAAAAAAACTATTATTGAAATGTACGTTTAAAACTGCGCCGTGTAATGACGGAGTAAAAGAATCCACTACCTTATATCACGCCGTGGGTATCGTAAGAGGGTCATGAAACAGAAGATGTGCAGTAGCATTTGCTGATAACAATTTAAAATATTAAACAACGGCGGTTGCAATCAGTCGACATGCGTAGCCATTATGGCAAACACCCTCCTATGAGCCTGGGCCTGGGTTATTTACTAAAACAAACTCCCAATTCTATTTTCATGTGCATGATTGTGTATCCATCCATATCAAAGAAGGGAACTCCTTAAACGCTTTTGCAACAAAGTCCCGGGATGATTCTTAATGTTTTCATACTGATTGTATGAAATGGTATTATCATTATCATCATCATTACATCCCTTCACAAATCCACTACTGAACATAGCCCAAGGAATGCCCCAAAGCACGGTCCTGAGCCACCTGAACCGTCGTCGTCGTCACTCCATTTAGTGGGGGGACGCCCTACACTACGCTTGCCGGTCGGAGGCTGCCACTCCAACTCGAGTCCTTATGAGGAAGCTCAAGGTCGGTCAGTGAGCTACGGAGAGGGCTATGCTCCGGTTTTCTCTGCGTGATAGAGTTAGAAGATATCCGGAGTAGAACCAGACTAACCGACATAACCCAACGGATTAGTATATAAAATAATAGATATATTGTAAATAAATTTTATTTAAAAACAAAGTCTCGTTGAGTTTCTTGTTAGTTCTTCCTTCTGTATTTTTCCGAACCAGAGTAAAAATAAAAAATGACTTTCAATAAGTATCTCTGTAATCTATCTCTATCAGAGATTATTTTCATTCATGTATTCCTTGATATTATAATATCAAGGAATACATGAATGAAAATAATCCCTGGGAATAAGGTGATCTCCACCATGCTGGTTCTATGAAAATTCATTTAAAATTGTGTAAACAAAATTATTGTTAAGTGAAATTATGTTTAAAAAAAGTCCCGCTGGGTTTCTTGCTGGTTGTTCCCAGGACAGAGGTATTTTCCGAACCAGTGGTAAATAAAATAATGACTTTCAATAAGTATTATGTAATAATCCATACTGAATAAAAAACATTCTATTCTATTCTATTCTATACATAAATATCAATTGCTGTCCGTTAGTCTCGCTAAAACTCAAGAACTAGTATTGAATAAAAATGATTCTATATTCTATTCCTATTACTGAATAATGACGTCACATCGATTCGAAAACGCTAAACGTAAAAGGTGCTAGGACGCTTCGTCTGCCTAGCAGCTAGCAGTGCGTTAGGCTAGGTACTAGCCTCTTACATTTTGCCGCCAAAAAGCAGTTTTTGCACTACTGTATTCTGGTCTGAAGGGTATAGAGAGCAAGTATAAGGGTGCTTTCCCACCAGAGATGTGCTATGCAGCTATGCTGCGAGGATGTGAAAGCTGAACTATGAAACTATGTGACTGTTTCCACTGATGCTAAGCTGTGTATCGGGGCGAGTAAGACGTGCTTTGAAGATGCACCGCCGCGCTGTAGCTGTGCGAGGAAGATGCGCAGCTCGAGCTATGCGAGGTTTCGGCATCGCAGCTCGAGCTATGCGATGTCGAGACCACGATATTCAAGTTTTGGATTGGCCTGCAAAGTCGCCCAACTTAAATCTTATCGAGCATGCCTAGGACATATTACAACGATAAGTTCTGAGAGATTTCCCGCCAAATTTGGCGACAGAACAACAACTTTACGAACACTTGCAAAGAACATGGGACCTCATAGACCTGCAAGACATTGACAATTTAATTTAAGTATGAACAATCGACTCGACGACTTTCAGCCTCCCGAACAAGCTGGTTTCCGAAAAGGCTTTAGCACCATGGACCACATACATACCTTTCGTAGGGAAGGAACTGGGAGCTCTGCTCTGCAAATAGCTACACCACTCGCGACCATCCATAGCACGCATCTAGAGCACGCTCCATTCATATAAAAACATAGCTTAGTTGAACATGTTTCCACCAGTGCTAATCTATATGGACCAATGAATTTGATTGGTGGATATCATACGCATCCATAGCTACGTAGCATAGCACATCTGTAGTGGAAAAGCACCCTAATTACAGGCTGTGAGTTATTCCATTTTATTCCTCAGAGCAAACAACGCATCTTTGATTAAGTGGGCTGCAAGTGTCCATGAACGGCAGTAGCCAATTACCGTCAGGTGGACTGTAAGTTTGTTTACCACTGCTATTTTATAAAAATGCCTGACTAGAAACAGAAACCAGTCTATGTTATCGGTCCGCGATCATCTCGTGCAGGTGAGCGTTGAGTGCTGATCAACTTTTTTACGCTGTGAAGCCCAATTGGATTTTAGTTTAGTCCATTATTGAGCAGGCCTATGTCCACTGCTGAGGATTAATAAAAGCAGTTATAAAGAAGAAGAAATATACTTAAAAAGTTGTTTTTGATTTAAAAAGTGAACCGAACTGCCTCCACCCGGGTGGGTAAAAATGTAGGAAAGGCCGCCTATTTTGACGTATTTACCGTCGCCGCTCGACTTTGATTAGGACTCATTATTTCTATAAAGGTATTCTAGTTTTAACTTCAAAAAATGATTTAAATAATAGACCGACTAAAATATATCATTTTTTTAAACAACTTAAATTTTACTACGTTTTTATTAAGTAATTTTCTTTTTTGTCTGTCTAACGACGGTTGGAATTTAGTAATTGACTTTAAACTGACTTCCCAAAGAGCTAAAAACTTGAAAATTTGAATATAGCTCAAATTTGGATGACAATTCAAGAATATGATAAAAAAGGGTTATAAATTTTTTTAATTAAAAAATTTCACTTGTATTAATGGTTACATTCAAAGTATTTAGAAAAGTTTTGCAGTTCTTTTCCTATACCTAAAGACATTTTATTTATTTATTACAAAGTTAAGAAAAATTTGGATAAAGGTAACCTTTTAACCATTGAGTTGTGTTTCGTATGATGAGTGTAGAGTTCCGGAGACCTTCCTTACTGAAAACGAGATGTTCCCTCTTAGTCCTCAGGGATTTTGATTCTTAATCAAGGATATATGTATATGTCTATGGACTACTTCATACACTTACCATCGGGTGGACTTGTGCTCGTTTGTCACACTTATTTTATAAAAAATAATAAGAAAAATAAGAAAGGTAAACTTACCATCTGGTGAGTAGGGCAAATTTGGATTCAGTGGTTGACTGGATGCTGAGTACGAGCTATCCAAGCCAAGGTAGTTTCCATGATCACTCGATGGCGATTCTTGTTTGATGTTCTTTTCGTCTTTATCTTTCTCCTTGTCTGTATTCTTGTCGCCTTCTTGTTTAGCTTTTCTTTGAATCTTTTTCATTTTAGCTCTTTGGTTTTGAAACCAAACCTGTACTACACGGACGCTCAAGCCGGTATCTTTGGCAAGAGCCTCGCGAACTTTGCGACAAGGCTTCGGGCTAACTTCGAATGATGCTTTGAACTGTCTCCGTTGGGCCGAAGTTAAAATAGTTCGCGGACGTTTTGGACCACGACGACCATCTCGAGGGCGCTCTGAGTCATCAATGATCATGTCATCTTCAGCGTGCTGCATAAGGTACATTTCCTTCTCGAAGTCCTGCCTACAAAATATCTGACCAGCTCTGATGACATATTGCTCGCCTTTCTGCAGAGGTTGGCAGCACATCACGCAGACGAAGCATTGGATGTGAAAGACGTACTGCTGCGCACGCATCACCATCTCCTGTGGGAGCAGTCGGTCGCCGCATCTGGTGCATTTCACCCCGAACAATCTAAGACAACAAAATTAATAATAGCACCGGAATAAAAGTGCAATCGCGCAGCATTTCGCATTGCGTTTCGCTAGCAATTCGCTTCATCATTTCGCAAAAATTTAATAGTAATAAATCATTAATTTCAAAAAGTCATCAATATTTTGCAAGAAACGAAATAAATATTACAAAGTTTAGAAGATTCATTACCTATCGTAGTCGGGTTTACAGTAGAGCTTCGCATTCCTTGTAAAGCACGTGTGGGTGAGTGGACAGCCGCACACGCAGCAGCTGAGACAGTGCTCGTGCCAGGAGAGCTCGCCCACCCGCATGAGGAAACGGTCCTGGATCTTCTGACCGCATCCTTCGCAGATCTCGACGATCTTCTCGCGTTTTATGCTCGCGCTCAGCTCTGTCAGAAACAAGTCCTCGGTTAGTAGCATGTGGATGGATCACCTGCTGAACATTCGCGTTGCTTTGCTTAAGCTATGATTGCTTAGACCGTTTGATTTCGCAGAGATAAACTTATTTTAAAATGTAAACCGTTCTATCGGCCAATCAATTGTGTACGACTGCAGATAGTTTTGAATTGAATAAAATACGATCGACTACTTCAAAATTAGTGAAGGTTAGAGGAATTAAAAAGACAAAATCTTCATAAGAATTAATGTTTATTTGTTCGTATTTTATGCGCTGCCACACCGTTCATCAGATTGTGGTAAACCTTTGTAAACTTATTGCTTGCACTTGCGCGAAGGTTATAATAGGCTTAGTACAATTAACTTACAGTAGGTGCTGCTCGTATCGTTTTGACAAATTTATTTGAAAGTTATATAATTCGGTTAGACTCTACTAGTTAGTCTGTGGTTATATATCACTCAATTTCACTGAACGTATTATCATTTCTAATTAAACAATACTTATAACTGTTCCAAATTTAAAACTATATTTTTACAATTACTTCATCTGCGGCAGCCACTCGCCGAGTACCAGCTAGTAAATTAAATTAAAATCTATTTCAAAATAAGCTACGTGGTAGAGCCATGCTGCAGCTATATTAGTAGTATAGTTATAGCACGAATGGGTCGGCTCGACCGGGGAAGGACCACGCTCTCACAGAATATCAGCGTAAAATAGCAGCTTAACACTGCTGTGTTTCGTATGGTGAGTGAAGAGAACCGGAGACCCTTTTTACTGAAAAAGAGGCATTCCATCTTAGTCCTCACGGGTGACAACGCATCTGCATTTTGATTCGCAAACGAGAATAGATGTAGATGTCTATGGGCCACAGCAACCACTTACCATCAGGTGGACTGTGTGCTCGTTTGTCATCCCATCTTAAAAAAAAAACCTGGTATCATTTTTTTTCATAAGCGGTTTTAAGCTTTCAAGGAATCATTTTTCAAATAATCTACACATTAATGGCAATAATGTTTGACGAGTATGATGTAGCCTCATGCAATGGCTTTCCAGGCTTTGTAATCATGATAACTTCCTTAACTTTCCACGACAGGGCGGTATACTAAGTCTGATTGTATCATTAATAAACGTAGAAAGATTTACAACGGCTTTTCGGGAAAGAAAGATCATTCAAGTGATTTCTCTAAATGTACTTATATGTTGGATCTCCGTTGCTACGAGTTTAAATTCTATTCTATTTCCTTTGACCATATTCCAATTTCGGTAAAAAAGCTTTTATACATGGTACCCATATCACTACATTGTCATTAAAGTTACATAAGTTTGCCAAATTTCTGCTAATTCGGATATCTTGTTTGTATATCTCTGTTTAGCCTAATGGTTGACTGGGAGAGAATGCCCTATGGGATTAAGTCCGCCATATGTACAACTTTGTGTATGAAAGATTAAATAAATAAATAAAATAAAAGAATATCATTAAGTGATTCAAAAATTATTCACAAATAATTCTAAAATTAATCACAAATAATTTTAAAATTAATTTCAATTATTCAGCTTAGTTTGGACCTGGCGGTGTAAAAATATCAACTATCCCATACCGTCCCAAGAGTGAAAATGAAACAGGAGATGGGCAGCAGCGTCGTCCTGCTGCCCTACTCGCGGAATATAAAAAACAAGTTTTGTGGCCCGTGGCCCTACCCTACCTATCCTATCAGGATGACGCTGCTGCGGACAATTCAAAATAATAATTAAAAACATGCGTGAGTGTCGTGGAAAATTCGTTTGGAACGAAGTTCCTTTCGTAGTATATTATTATTGATAAACGTATTATATTATTGATGAATATTGATAATGAATTACTAGCGTCTATTAAAATGAAGCGATATTTAAAATAAATTATTTTATTTCTTTCATGGCAAGGTAAGAAATAGTGCGAGGGAGATGGATATTATTCCATCTCGCTTCCTTGTAACCGCCAAGGCCGTCTACAGTCTATACTACGTCAGAAGGGGTCGTGACGGAAAAATCTTACACTTTTTGTCGCCTAGCCTCCATCCGCCAAATTCGTACCGTCCGATAAGGAACTTCGTTCCAAAAAATTGCGGTTGCGAACCCGGTTGCCAAGCATGGCAACTATGGTAAAATTCCTCTTGAGGCATTCTATGAAGGAGGCCTATGTTCAGCAGTGGACTCGTATAAGAATAGATGATGGATTGAATCGAAAAATTATACGAAGAAAGCAAGGTAAAGAAAGATAAAGTGACCATACGTCCCGTTTTGGACTGTCCTTTTTCTCGGTCAGCTATCTCGTTGTCCCCAAACAAAGCTCCGGGACTTAAAGTAGTCCCGTTTTCCGAAATAGCGCGCAAATGTAAAACTATGAAGTTTGTCAGACACGAACGGTGCGAAAGCGAGACCGATCAAAAAATAACCGAATGGTATAATTTAAAGTTTCCGCAGAAACTCGTTGGGTTTGGCACGGAGCAAACACAAAGTTGTAGTTTGCTCCGTATCCACCCATGGAGCAAATACAAAGTAGTATTTGCTCCGTTGCTGGAAGTATTCAAACACTTTCGCACCAACAATCTGTGTGTGTATTTTCAATATGTTTTATGTCTACCTGGTACAAATTAATGTTCTAATAGAAGGAGTATGTTTCTATAATGAATAAATTGTGGAAAAGATTGTGGATAAATGTTGTCGGGAACAAATCACTTTCAAGTTCCAGTTTTAAAGGCGATGTTGATAACAAAGGTCAATATAGGAAAACATGCCCAGAATTTTATTCTTATTTAAAATCATCACCAACTTTATTAAAGCAAATTTTTTCCACTGACAAATGTAAATAATATATCATTAAAAAATATGTTGCATTTAATAATTACCGTCCGAGGAACTTTGCTTTAATGAAGCTGGTGAAATGGTAATTGATTTTGATTTTTCAAAATGTATTTTAATAAAAATAATTATAAGTAATTAATGTGAATATAATTTTATAGTGAACACTAACTGTATTCACTATATATTTTTTAGAGTATAAATAAACGCATGTCCCGTTTTGAGTTAAAAAATCAATGGTCAGTCTAGGTAAAAATAGGTTTTAAAAAGTGGAATGTTTTATTTATTGATGAGTGCATCTATGATTTATATTCTATATTAATGATTTGGTTTAGATATTTAATGCCGAGTGATCGCGGTGTAGGAGAATCAACCAAGCAACCAACTATCCCCTTTCGTGGCGCGAGAGTCGTAGTTGGTGACACACGGCTTCGGATACAGGACGGTATTAACATCTAGTGTTAGCTAGATGTAAAATATCTAGAATGGCGACGGGAAGCAGGGTCAAAGGTGTGAGAAGCCCCTGACCAGCGGTGGATTGTTAATTCGACGGCTCCGTGGCGCAGTGGCTTAGCAAGAAATTGCAGCGCCAATAGCCGCGGGTTCGAATCCCGCACTGAACAAGTTGAAGGGATACTTTGTACCCCTTTATAAACATTTTGTGCGCACGAAGACGTATGAAATTTGGAATAGTTAAAGTTTTATTGGAGAAGAAAAACATTCATTGTTTACGTTCATATTGCCAATGTCGAACAAAATAGTCTGTGGTCAAAATGTCGCACGGAGTAGATATTATAGCCAGAAAAAATAATGTGGCTAACAAGTAATTACAACTTTATTCCGGGGAAGCACCACACTCTCACAGAATACCAGCCTAAAATAGTAGCCTAATAGTAATTTGTTTTGTAAGGAGAGTAAAGAGAACCAGAGACTACTGGAGACCATCTTTGTCGTCAGGGGTTACAACTTACAACTCATCTGCATTTTGATTCTTAAAATAAAGGATAAATGTAGATGTCTAGAGGTCATGTGTGCTTGTTTGTTACCCTTATTCTGAATTTAAATTGAAATATAACCTGAATAAAATTGAAAATTGATACTAATGTAAAGTTTTTAAAAAAAATATATTATTATAATAGTTTGGTAAACCTAAAAGTGCACGCCTCATAAGCGTTTTATTTAATATTGATGAAAAAAAAAATAAAAATAGTGACGATAATTTTTACAAGACAAAAAAACAGAGAAATCTTTCATTAATAAGTTTTAAACGGTGTTGTGTTCAATAACAAAAATCAATAGATATCCTCCTTGGAATGTATGGAATCTTATTATCTCAATCTATTGTTTATATTTCTATTATAAGCGAGAAGACTCACCGACGCATAGACCAACGGAAGGCAGTTCATATATTTTTTTAATTACATTTTTTGTTAATATGTAATCTAAAGTAAACCAATTAGAAAATAAAGTAACTTATAATTCAATATCTTTAGTTATTGTAACGTTAATAATAATGTGGATGTCTAGCTAATAGTATAAGAACGATTTTATGTAGCAAAAATGAGGTATGGCCATATATCGAGAGTAGAGCACGCCCCCACGTTATTAGGCGTCGCGTACAGTACAATCTTGCACACATTTTAATTTTCTTAAAATTCGCATAATTTTTGCTTAATAAATTCATACATTCATTTCAGATACATTCTCACATTGGCTGGAATTCCAACAAGCACCATCATTATGAGCCAGCAAGTTGAGTATTGGAAAAGCATTTCCAAATAAATATTTTACAGGTCCTTTTTTAGAAAACTTAAAACAGGATTTTTGAAGTGATCCTCACATTCTATATTGTCGCCATTTTTATAATAAAAAAAGTTTTGAAAGGAGATTTTCTCGTCCGACAGCTCTTAATCAATCTTGCTGTCTGAAATAATAATAATAAAACACGCACCTACGAATTTAATTTAACCTACGTATTTAGGGGTGGGTATCACAGAAGGTCAAGGTTCAAAGGACAGAATACCAGTGTAAAATAGTAGCTTAACGCTGCTCTGTTTCGTATGGTGAGTGTAGAGAACTTTTTAACTGGTAACGAGGCATTCCATCTTAGTCCTCACGGGTGACGACGCATCTCCATTTTGACTCGTGGTTGAG